CTTTCTAATTTGATTTAAGGCTAGCACCAGCAAAGAAAACTCATGTCTGTAACAAACTAAAGCAAAGATCTGTGGCTGGAGAGCTGATAGGCCCCTGTGCTGTTGTTTAGTTCAAAGGATTTAGCATGCCTGTCAAAGTGCCTTCTAAGTGTTTGTGTTTATACCCACAGATTACTGCTGCCATCAGGTTTAACCCAGGAAGGAAACTTCTTTTGTTGCTATGAGTGATAGATACCACACTCAAGCCTGGTCTACCTGAGGCAAACAAGTGACTATTTCAGTGCGTAAGGACTCAATGTTAAACCATAAAGGGAAAAAAATTCCAACATACCTCTATCACCCTCAGCAAAGCCCACAGAATACCACGGAATATGGAAGAAAGGGTGTTAGAGCTGAAGGAAATGAAGGAGCACATTATTAGGCAAATATGTCCTCTGAATTATGACATTCACTCCTGTGGAGAGTGGGAAGGGCTTGGGAAGCTAATAAGACCCAAGAGACTCAGGGTAGGAGTCACAAGGCCTCTCCCAGAGGTCATGTAAACAATAAACAATCTCTAGAGAAAGACTCTTGTGGATGGTACTGCCTACAAGTTCCACAGAGCGCTCTATACATGCAGCTTCCATGAATCCTAACCCATGCTGTGCTGAGCTGGGCTTTTCAGTGATACAACTGCCTTTGAGTAACATATATTTCTTTAACACTTCATCTATGCATCTGTAGTAACCCCAGTGAACTCATTGGTTTGTAAAGTTAGGCTTGGGTGAATTGATTCTTCAATCTGACATCAATGCCCTAAATGGATTGAACAGAATTTGTTCATGTCTCCCCCAGGAAAAGTTGAACAACACTGTCATAACCAACGAGTGTCCCCAGAGTGCACGTGATCTTGAGAGGTACTAGAATACATAAGAGGTAGACACTTAACTGGGCTGAAGTTCATAATGCAGCTTCCACAGGGTTTACCCATGAAAGGGTGGCATTTTTTAGTGATGTATCAGTTCTGTCACTATTGTGAGTGACTCCATTTACGTATAAGCTCAATAAACACATTGGCTTACCAAGCTGTATTTGGATAGATCATTTCTTTGATATATCACAGGTGACAAAGGTTCATTCATCTCTTCTGAGGAAACATAAATGAGTTTGTGGCAGGCTGGCACCCTCTGTTCTCTCTCATCGATTTACTGTCCATGAGATAAGCAGGTTTGTTCCACCACTCGATTTTACCACAATCTACCACCTTATCATAGGTCCAATGCACTGGGACTGACCAATCACAGCCTGAAACATTAAAAACTGAGAGCATGATAAGTCTTTTCTCTTTATAAATTGATTTTCTCAGCTCTTTGTATTATAGAAAGCTGACTGTGGCAGATGAATAAGGGCTCCTTTTCATAATATACAAAATTTGGGGGCAATAAGGAAAGTCATAAAATGTCAATAATTTGAACAAGAGATTAACTGAAACCAAACAAAATACCTGAATATACAATATTCTCAATCTCCCACATAATGTAAAACCAAAAAATGCAAATAAAACCTCATCACCCTTCATCTGATTGGCAGAAACATCACATTGCCTTCCACTTCCCACAGCGGGTAAGAGGGAGGACTTATATGACCTGAAATATAAAATGGTAAAATGATGCACTATCTAAAGGAAATTAGCCTCTTGCCTGATCACTATTATAAATAATGAAAACAGATGCCATTTACATATGTATGTATGTATGTATGTATGTGTGTATGTATATATGTATGTATGTATGTATGTATGAATGCATGTATATGTGACTGCACACTTTTCCACTCATGCCTCAGTTCCCCAATAATAACACAGAGGCTCATTATTTATTTAAAAATGCCCAGGCCATAAGTTAGACTTGTTCCCACCAGCTCATAACATATCTAACCCATTTATACTATTCTATGTCTGCCACATGGCTAGTTACCTCCCCTCAGTTTCATATGTTTCACTTCCTCTGAGTCAGGGCAGGGAAACTTCCCCTCTGACTATCTCCCAGAGTTGGTTGTTCTCTCTCTCTCTCTCTCTCTCTCTCTCTCTCTCTCTCTCTCTCTCTCCCTCTTTCTGCCAGATGTCTCACTTTTTAATCCTGCCTCAGCTTTCTGGCCATAAGATTTTTATTGACAGGTTATACATCCACACAGCACACAAGAGATTATCTCTGCATATAAATACATACATATGTGTGTGTGTGTGTATGTGTGTGTGTGTGTGTATCTGCAAATACTAGTTAAATTAACCATTAATAAATGACATTTTTGAGTTTTATACAGAGTTTTTAAACCAGAGTTAGGAGCTTCCACTTGAGCAAGTTGTGGTAAATCCTTGCCCAGACTTCTTCCTCATGAATTATCAAGGAGGAAAATCTTCCAACCACAGGCAAAGGGAGCACAGCATAGACTACAGAAGCAGAAAGGGCCACACTCCACAGACATCCAACCTCTACCTTAAGTGAACTTGGCTCATACAGTTTGAAGGGACTACAGAGAGGCATCTAAGTGAGAAAGGACAGAGCCTTGAGCTAAGACAGAAGCCCATGAGTGATTCATTCAAGAAAGCAAATCAAGAAATATCAAGTTGTTGGTCACTACCTATGTAGCCCTCACAGAAGCACATATCTGGCTACTAGATTTTTCACTTGGAACAGTGACTGGAGATGGTACTCTTTTATGTCTAAAAGATGAAGGTACAGTTGTTCCCTTCAAGAATCAAGAAGGCTTCATTTTTAAAACAGAACTTCTGGTTTGACTCCAGGAACTAGTGAACATGTGAGCCTGGCAAGATTACCAAACTTATGCTTGCTTCAGCTTCCTCATCTCCAAAGTATAAATAACAATCATACTTAGTTCCTAAATTACTATCTTAGTGCTTAGTACAAGAGTGCCTAGAACTAAATACACAAAGTAAGTGTTCTGTGAGTGGTAGGTTAACAGTATTGTTATTTCAAGGTATATGGAATATTTGTGCATGTTTACATTTCACAGTGATGATTTCATGTGCTCACATTCATCCTCAAGGCACAGACACTGTCCCTGCATGGATAAAAGCTGCCAGACCTCTCAGAAACTAAACTACATCGACTGAACTTTGTCCTGGCTCGGTTAGGGTAACAAACAGTAGAGCAACACAGTCAACACATACTTTGTATAAAGGAGTTCTTCCTTTTTGCCATTTCCTATGTCCAAAAGCAGGAAGCCCCCAATAGTTGCTTAAACAAAGACTCTGTTTTGAATGGCCTATTTCACATGGTTGAATACTATGAAATGTCATCACATCCGTGTTCTCGGGCTTTTCTACAACCTCCTCTTCTTACCACCTAAACTTCCACTCAAATGCTTTCTCTTCACTATTTTGTGCCATGTGTTCTCCCTTGTTTGACCTCAGAACAATTGGAACTAATATTTAGCCACCAATTCTGATATGGATCTGGCTTTTATTTCATATACTATATTTTCGTAACCATTACACTTCCAAAAGAAAACAAAGGCCAAAAAGCTTTGGAATGTAGTAGTAGTCATAATTATTTTACCCTACTTTTATAGTACAATGATCATAGAGTGTGTGTGTGTGTGTGTGTGTGTGTGTGTGTGTGTGTGTGTGTTCTCCTTGGTTGAATAATAATGGCACTTAGGTGAGAATCAGATTTACTTGAAGGTTTCAGATTTAAAATACATAATGCTAGATAATCAAGATAGAGATTTGCCCTTTATTTGCTCTAGATAAGTCCTTATGTCTCTCAGCTACAAGATTCAAGATCATTCTGTGTTGAAAGAGAATTCTCCATAGGCATTTCTGCACAGCACACCAAGCTTGCTCTTCAGTTTTGGGTTTTGTCTTGTTTGGTTTTGCCTGTGCAGTAGTGAGGACATACTCAGATTTTCATCCATCATAGGCAAGGGCTGTGTCATGGAGCTGTCCTTCAAATCCAGTGTGATGCTAGCTGTTACACTTGTTAATGTGATAAACTGCTCTGGAAGATACAAATGCATCTCACTCTGGAATGTAGGTGTTATTTGCATCCTTGCCAAAATACTAAAATCACATATCCTTCTAAGGCAAATATTAGTCAGGTTTGCTAGCAGCCAATAGGAAGACTGGAGATTCCAAGGTTAGGGTTCATGTCAGAGACAAAAACATCATCAGAAGCATTCTCCAAATGATACTGCTGTATCACCCCAATACAACCAGAGATGCAAGGAAGTGTGAAGTGGATACAAGTGGCTCTATCCTAAGTATGAAATACACATGTGTCAGACCCAAAGGTTTCATGACTTTACTAGCATTAGTCATTCTACAATGGTCTAATTTGTCTTCTTGCAAGAAAGCTGTCAGAATACATATAGTTTCCATGCCTCGGATTCCCTAAATGCAATATAGAGAAAGGGAACTTCACAGACTTCATATGTTAAGCTTACAAATGAGATAATACATACATAATACATAACCTGTCTATACCTCAGAACTGAACTCAAACATTATTCAAGGTAGTAATACCAGGTGACTGTGGGCAGCCTCTCCACTCCATTAAATGGCCTGCACACTGCCTTAGTCTTCACTCTCCACTCTGCATCACTGACACCAAAGTCCATTTTCTAGGTCAACAGTTTGTCCTCTAGACAGTGACGAAGCTAGCATTTTCTCTACTTAGTTTTTGTTTTGTTTTTGAAACAGAGGGTCATATACACTACACTGGACTTGAAATCTCTATATAGCCTCAGAGGAGTCTGTCTGTTTCTGCTCGTATCTGTTTCCTTCCTTCCTGTCAGACACACATACATAAAAGGTACTAACCAAAAGGAGGATATTTTTACAAGTGTTCCAAGACTTGTAAGCTCTAATTCTCTCCCAATTACAATTTAATACTATGATAACTTAAACTACAACTTCATAGACACTCCAGTTGCTGAAGTTTCCTTTGAGGCCTTACAACACCGTCAGTCTTGGATCACCACAGGGGATTGGATTAACTTACCTGTAACAAAAAGTCAAAGAGAGCCATCTTGGACCATTCGTGATGATGGATTTCAGTACAGCCCCACTCAGGTCTGGGAACTCGGCCATTCAGCCAGCACTTCTGTTTTAGCAACTGCTGATAAGTTCCCCAGGTGAGCTTAACAGAAGAATGGCTGTCATTGCTTGCAGATGCTAGAGATGAGTCCCAGAGAATGATAGGGCGAGGTCGGCCATCTATAGAATCAGAAAAGCAAATAGTTCACTCAGCATGCTGCCTTATTGAGTAGCAAATGTCCTTGGGAAGGTCACCCACTACTTCACACCCTCTTCACCTGTCAGAAATGGGACACTTCGTAACCAAATTCCATAGTTCCTGTGTCTTCACAAGTTTTAAGACTTTTATATAAATGACACTCCTGGTCAGTTAAAATAAGTCATATGAAGTGGAAAGTTACTGTAGACAGTGAAAGAAAATTTAACAAGATTTATGGCTGTGGTAGGAACAGGCTACTAACTACTACTCAAGCATCCTCTCGTTTAGTATGGTTTTATTCCACATCTAAAAAGCAGCCGCCACAAAAAAAGAAAGAATCCAGACATTTATAATTGTCTATTCAAGGTCTGAGCAGAGCGGTCTCTGTCTGTAATAACAGCTGTCTGATTTTCTGAGGCTACATCAGGATGCTGGGGGTGGGGAGAATTTTTAGAAGTTGCAAATTTCAAAGAGAAAATGGATGCTTCCCATCAATTTCTGGAGTCTCCAAAGAAGGAAAGTAGGAGAAAAAAAAGTGTTTTTGTTTGTGTTTTTCTTTTCTGATAGAAGCCTGCAAGTACAACAGTGCTCCTGGGAAGGGGTCACACGTTCACCCATAGCCTCAGAAGGTGTCTTTAAGCAAATATCACTTCTTCAACTGCATGTGCATAGATGATATATTTTTTTAAATATCACTAAAGTTGGAGAGCCACTGGATAGAAATGGAATTTCTATCACTGCTAAACTGAATAAACTATAATATATCCCTGTGGAATCCTCACCAACATGAAGATCACGATGGAGTCAATTGAACATTTCAGGCTTAAAGCCAGACCTATCATTTTAAGCCCCCATTTCATCCAAGTAAAGTCCCAGAGATGGTGATGATCAGGGTTGCTTATAATTCAAAAGTCAGTGCGGTGCTCTTGAAGGAAACAACTCCATTACAAGCCCCCTTAACTCATTCTGAACAAGCCTGAACAACGGAGTCCTCAGGAATTCTGATGGGAGTGTCCAGACATGCTAGGAATTGCTGAAAGCCCTTTAAAATGGCCTGAGATGTTTGAAATCTACAGCTTTCCTCACCTAGCTAGAAACTCAACCCCCCCTTGTTTGAATCTTGTAGTGCTCTTATCTACAGGAAACAGTCAGCTGCTGGCACACCAACGGTTTAAGCACATTGATTCAACCATTCTAATTGCCCCCATCCCAGCCTGTCCCAAAGAAAATTCCTCCTCCATTTCATCAATAGTGCCTGTGGAATAGAGCATGTGCAAGGACTTTGGTTTATACACAGTAGGTACACCACAGTCACTGACACACAACTAAGAGAAAGAAAGAACCTCAAGCTGAGCTAAAAGATCATGAATTTACTGTTCCTTTCCTCCTTTCCACTTCCTTTTTACTAAGAGATTGGGGCTCCTGAGACCTAATTCTATTCTAAAATAGAAGAGCTAGATAATCTTGTATGCCTCAAATACTGTGTGCTGACTTGTTTTTTAAAGAGAATAAAATCTGTGTAAGATCTGTCTATCATATGAAGAAGACAAGCCAGGCCAGTGTGACCAACTATGAATAGAAAAATATCGTGCAACTTTCTAAGACAAGTGCATGGGACATCAGAACTGTAAGAGGCTGTAGACCAGTGACCTGGACACTGTGACTCACCAAGAGCCCTTCTCATACCAGAGCATGGAAGTGTTCAAGGGTAACTAAAGCCAAATACTGCATGTCCACAGGAAGTTGAGGAGCTATTTCCTGCACAACCCAAGTCCTGGGAGGAGCGAGAAGTGGTCTACAGAAGTCAGAGGAACCTTTGTGGTCCTCTCTGCATCTTTAAGAGCATCCATGCCTTACTGTAAAATCAAATAAAAAGAAAATTCTGCATGATAATGTATAGGGAAGAAAAATCCCGCTGTCTGCAGCCCACGACAAATGGTTTTTTGTTTTCTAAAGTTTTCCTGCCCTCTTCCCTCTCACCTGAATAAATAGTTTTAAATTTTTAAGACAAGAACATGGCTAACTCATGGCTGAAGCATAGACTGTGGAACCCAACAGACCTATTGCTCTCTAGTTTGACTTCCTTGCTTTGTGACATTAGACAAGTGACAAGCCTCTCCAAGCCTTCCTCCTCTTCCTCCTCCTCTTCCTCCTCCTCCTCTTCCTCCTCCTCTTCCATGTCACAGGGGTGAGCATGTATCTCATAAACTGACTTCACAATTATTAAATAAGACTATTATAAAGAAGAAATTTCTTTCTCAAACTTTTGTCATTTCTACCTGGTGGAAACACTCAGATTTCTCTTCCTCAAGGTTTTAGAACATATTCGGCATATGATTGTTACCTGTAGCCACCCCACTGCTGTAAGACCAGCACATTAGATAGGTTTACCCTGATTTCTACATTATACAGTGTATGCATGTAACTCACTAACAGGTAAAAATTTTTATGTTGACATATGAAATGAAAGAAAAAATAAAACAAATAAATAAACCCCCTCATCCTAGTATTTAGCATAAATGCATAATCAATAATAATTTTATAGCAGCTGTTTTACATATACACCTCCAACAGTCTTATAAAACATAAGTCTTCACCCAACCATTGCTGCTTACTAAGCAACTACTATATGCCAGGTAGTGTTTTAGAGCCTGAAGCTAAATTATATACAAGTAGGTACCAACTGTTTTGCTCTCATGAAGCATAAATTTTCACAGGATAAAGAAGCAAAACTTACACAAAGGAAAAAATAGAAATATGTGGATTTTCATAGTTGTTTCATTAAATGTTATAATACAGATGTCTATTTTACAATCCAATATTTGAATAGTACTGATGTAATCGGGGCTTTGCCAGTCATGTGCTCTCTACCACAGCCATTCAGCTATATGCTTGGCTCAGTGTCACAGTGGCACAAAAGGGTGGCAGACAGGAAAGTGACAACTGGTCACGACTAAGCCAACACAGCTTTTTTGTAAACACTAAAGTGTGAATCCATATGATTTTCAATTGTTACAGTAATATTATCAACCTTTTTACTATTTTCAGCCTTGTAAAATTACAGACATCAGTTTATAAAAGCAAAATAGGTAGTAGGCCATCTTTGGCCACAAGCTCTGTGCCCATGGGTTTATCAGTCTCTTCTATAAATCATCAAACTCTTTGATGGTTTTTGTTGTTTTTCCTGTTGTTTGTTGGTTGGTTGGTTGGTTGGTTTGAAACATGGTCACACTGTATAGCCATAGTTGACCTGGAATCTACTGTGTAGACCAGGCTGGCCTCAAAACTCACAGAGATCACCTGCTCCTGCTTTCCAGGTGCTAGGATTAAACGTGTGCACCACCACAACTCGTGGTTTCTTCCCATCACCCAGCTGCATGCTTCCTGCTGGAGCTGGAGCTGCACCTGAACCTTCATTCCTCCCATCTCAGCTCCATGGGTGCTGAGATTAAAGGCACACATGCAGTCATTGGATATACTTTCTATGCTGATAGCTAATAAATCATTTCTTAAACTGCCAAAGGTAAAGGTAGTTCAGCAAATAGACACAATCAATTATTCTCCATGGTCATTCTCCATGATCATCCTTGTTTCCCCAGAAAAACATAAAGACATTTTTTTCTGCCTTTTGTAGAAAAGGATTCCCAGAGAAGAGACAAAGCCAGAGATCTGAGGCTCCCTGGTTGGTGAGTGGAGGAGCACTGGCCTCTTGCTTTTCCACGCTTGCTGTTCAGTCTTCCCACAGGAGTCAAGAATGTGGTACCCAGTGTGTAATAATACCTGTTGGTGTAGCTGCAAGTCTCGGCACTGTAAGTGCCACTGAGGGGAGAATTCCCATTATATAAAATACAGCTTTTAAGAGGAGTAAAGGAGCACTGATAGAGCAGAAGGGATGATGGGAAAATGGTCTCTGAATACAGGAGTCTGGTTAAACGCATTCACCCTGAAGGGTTTTTGAAATGAGCAGTGTTCATCTCCTTCCATTCAGATTTGTCAAGATGATGCAGTGCTGTGCTCTCTGGAGAAATCTTAATGGTGAAGAGATAAAATTCTAACTGTCAGAGTAGTGGGAAGCAGCCTTTAACAGATGTCTGGATGTCCGTGTAAATTAAAGGTTACACAGCTGTCTTAAAAATGAGACTTGCCCAGTAAAAACTCCTCTCTTCCAATATCTGAATATCTCCTCAGAATTTTGATGTTCTCTTTAGTCATTTTTGACTCAACAGCACAAAGAAGACATTCTTTGGGGAAGATGGACATGAAAGTTAACCAAGAATGTATGCTTTACACAATCTCCTTTGTCTACATGCATTAAATGCCCTTCACTTTAAACACTGGCTGACTGGTTTTGCTACACCATAGGGGCAGGCCAAGCCTACTGGTGGATTGTGAATAGTCTGCCCGTATTTATCACCAGACAAAAATAAGCAAAAGTATTCTGAGCTGCGAATCAAAAGTCCTTTCTATCGAATGGGCCGAGTTCCAAGCCTCCTTATGAATGAGACTGAAAGGAAGTAAAAGTTCAGCATCAGGCCTTTCACTGAACACAATTCTACAGATCCTTGAAAGAAAGCCCAGGCCAGTCAAAACCGGTGGGGCATCTTCATTGCAGGAAATAAATTCCATGGGCTCCATCTTAAGCATCAACAAGTCACTGACAGAAAGCCTTATACTACAGATCACTCACTGCTCAAAGCAATAAGGTGTCCATGCATGCTGCTCCACGGCCTTGTAGAAAGTGTCTAGGTAGGTAAACTTGTCAAATCCTATTAACTTCACTATTCTTCAGTGCCTTGCAAAGCAAGATTTGGAATGAATATATATACGGAGCTGGAGAGATGGCTCAATCACTTTGCTCTTGCTCCTCTTTGGGAGGATCAGAGCCCAGTTCCTGTCACCCACACCTAATAGGTCACAAACTCTTACAACTCCACTTCCCTGGGATCTTATCTCTTCTGGCTTCCATGGGTACCAGCTCACA